CTCTTATATAATTAGGAATTTAAGGAAGAAATCTCTTTATTATTTTTTGCAAAAAGATTCTTCCCAAATATAACACCGCATACTCCCCTCAGAAGACTCATCACCTACCTTCCCATTTTTACTGTTACCCCCTTCTTTACCACGTGTCAAAGCCCCCCCCTGCTGAACTTATCCTGGTGACCCCCCTACCCCCTTCCACCTTTAACCTCTGCCAGTCTCTCTCTTTCTCTCTCTCCTCCTCTCTCTATCTACCTTTCTATGTATGCATGTATATGTATGTATGCGAGGGTATTTACGTATGTATTTATGTATGACATTCATATGTGTATACGACACCACAGCCAATGACGCAAAGACGTACTTTGGCATTCATAAAATTCAGCTACGAAACTATCTTTTGAACATGAGTATGTCCATAGCAGTTGGTATAATGTATAATGTATAATAGTATAATGTATCATGCTATAAAGTATATTGGTAAATGTATGATATATAATGACATGTACATAGACATATGATGGCATATGTTTAATCACTTTAATGTATGATGTCATGATGTATAATGATATATGTATAATATATAGTGGCATGATATATAATGGTATGTGTATAATATAGTCTAATGTATAACGGTACGTGTAAAATGTATAATTGCACAAGGGTAATGATAGACTCCAAGGCTACTTACTGTTCCACTATCACAGAGATTTCATTGTTCTTTTCAAACATCTTATCCCTGATTTATATTCTTTTTTGTTATATATTCTATAAGACATTTTTGGGACATCTCTTCACAGCTGGCGATTTCACACGGGACCTGAACGTTTATCAAAACAAAAACATGTCACAAACAGATACGACGCGCACGTGCCTCCTTGTGGCCCAGGCATACTCCGAGGGCCGCGCTGAGGTTGCCCCTGTGCATCGGCTGGCTTGCATGGCCTTAGGGACGTGGCAGCGAAAAGGGGGATGGAAGAGGAAGGGGAGGGAAGGGAGAGAGGGAGGGAGGGAGAGATGGAGGGAGGGAGGGAAGGGAGGGAGGGTTGGAGGATGGAAAGTGAGGGAGGAAAGGGAACGGAAGGAATGAGGTGGGTATACTCGTAGAGAGGGAGTGGGGAGGAATGGAGGGAGAAAGAGAGAGAGAGAGAGAGAGAGAGAGAGAGAGAGAGAGAGAGAGAAACAGAGAGAGAGAGAGAGAGAAGAGAGAGAGAGAGAGAGAGAGAGAGAGAGAGAGAGAGAGAGAGAGAGAGAGAGAGAGAGAGAGAGAGAGAGAGAGCGAGACAGCGAGAGAGAGAGAGACGTACTACCTAAATTATCAACAAGGCATCGCTTAACACTAAAAAGGACCTGATATTCTCACACAACACACATCGTCATGGTACACCGCTATATCTTCAAAACACCATCGTTCCCATACTGAACATTACCCCCGCAACAATGAAGCCAGAAAAGGTTACGCCAATAACCTTTGACCCGTATGGCGTGAGAGGTAACAATAATCTCACAAAAAAAAAAAACATAAAAACGATGAATTCTGTCCGAGGAAAAAATTCACGTGCGAATAAAAGTGATAAGGGGATTCATGTTGTATAAGCTGAAGGTTTTTTTTCTTTCGACGTCGGGAATATTATGACATGGTTACAAAAACGAGCCATTTTATCTGGAGGAACGTGGACCTTACAAGTCATTATCTTTTTTGTTTCAAACAGAATAGTGCAGTTATATCATATATCATATATCTCTCTATCTCTCTACCTACCTATCCATCTACCTATCCACCTACCTATTCATCTACCTATCCATCTTTCTAACTACCCATCAATCTATCTGTCTATCTACTTATCTATTTGTATATCTAACTATCTCTCTATCTATATATCTATCTTTCCTTCTATCTGTCTCTCTGTCTTTCTCTCTACCTATCTCTTTATCCATCTTTCTATTTATCTACCCATCTCTCTATTTATCCATCTCTCTACCTACCTATCTATCTATCTTTCCATCCATCCTTCTAACTATCCATCTATCTATCTGTCTGTTTATCTATATATCTATATATCTACCTATCAATCTATCTATCTGTCTGTCTACTTATCTATCAGTCTACATATCTATCTATCTATCTATATATATATCTATCTGTCTGCCTATCTATTCATCAATAAGTATATATATATATGTATGTATGTATACGCGCGTGCGCACACACACACACACACACACACACACACACACACACACACACACACACACACACACACACCACACACACACACACACACACACACACACACACACTCACACTCACATATATACATACATACATATATAATATATATATATATATATATATATATATATATATATATATATATATACATATGTATGTGTATATATGTATATATTAAATGTTTTACGTACCTTTCGTGTCAAAACCATTGGCAATCATCTCACTATCTATCTGCTTATCTATCTACCTATCTATCTATATAGATATCTCTATATCCATCCACCTATCTATGTATGTCTTTCTATCTAACCCTCTCTATCTATTTGTCTGTCTATCTATCCATCCATCTATGTATATATATATATATATATATATATATATATATATATATATATATATATGTATATATATACATATATATATATAAGGCAGGGCGAACCTACCGCCTTGTCAGGGCTGGTCGGTTTTTCCGTAACAGCAGTTACGCCGTTTTCTAAACATTGGATGATAAAGAAAACGGATGTAAATAATAAAATTTAACCATACACTATCGTAAACGGATGAATATTAGATTACAATTACAGTGCGTAGGATTCTGATGATTATAGGATTTCCTGTGTTACTTTCTTGTTCAATGCACTGCATAAAACAATATACAATGAATACATTACTGAGCCAATATTTTGATAACATTCAAATTATACCCGCTTCTCTTTATAGAAAATGTATCATGTATACCTTCAAAAAATGAGACTTTGTACCTGTAAACTTTATTTATCGAAAAGGTATACGACTATTCATAGTGAGTGTTTTGCAGGTCATCTACCTATCCATCATTATTATCTATCTATAAATCATTAGCATCTATCTACACATCATTATCATCATCTATCTATCCACCGTTATCATTTATCAGTCCATCATTAGCATCTATCTATCCATCTCTATAATCTGTCTATCCATCATTATCATCTATTTATCCATCATTACCATCTATCCATCATTATTATCTATTTATTCATCATTACCATCTATCCATCATTATTATCTATTTATCCATCATTATCATCTATCTATCCATCATTATCCTCTATCTATCCATTACCACCATCTATCTACCCATCTTTATCATCAATCTATCCAACATTATCATTTGTCTATCCATCATTATCATCTATCTATCCAGCTTTATCATTAATCTATCCATCATTATTACCTATCTATCCATCGTTATCATCTATATATTCATGATTATAATCTATCTATCCATCATTACTATCTATTTAACCATCATTATCACCCACTTATCCATCATTATCGTCTATCTACCGATCTTTATTATCTATCTCTCCATTATTATCATCTATCTATGCATCATTACCATCTACCCATCATTATCATCTATCTATACATCATTATCACCTATCTATCTATCATTATCGTCTATCTATCCATCTTTATCATCGATCTCTCCATTATCATTATCATATATCAATGCATCATTACCATCTATCCATCATTATCACCTATCTATCCATCATTATCGTCTATCTATCCATCTTTATTATTTATCTCTCCATCATTATCTCAAGTCCATTATTATCATCTATCTAAGCATCCTTACCATCTATCCATTATTATCATCTATCTGTCCATTACCATTATCCATCTATCCATCATGTATCCATCATCAGTATATCACTATTTTTTCATCACCACTATTTATCATCTCAATCATCAACCATTGCTCTTTGCTTTCGATCACTTCGTACATACAAGGCCACGGTTAGTTGGTCTGTCTGTTCGGTGGTTAGCAGGATAACTCAAAAAGCTATACATATATATATATATATATATATATATATATATATATATATATATATATATATATATATATATATATATATATATAATATATATATATTTTTTTTTTTTTTTTTTTTTTTTTTTTTTTTTTTTTTTTTAAATGAAATTAGATGTCATTAATTTTTTGTTCGTGATCCGAATCCATGATTTTTAAAAATAATTGCCTTAGCCATTAGGGCAACTGTTATCATTATCATGACTTTAATTAACTCCACCAATGGGGTTATATTTGCGGACGCCACCAGTGAACTTGATAGAGAAGTGATTTTGATTTAATTCTTCAAGAGAGAATATTTTTATTTCAGCAACGACTCTATTGCCTTGGCGGAGGTATGCGCTCTCTGAGGGCTTCTAGTTTCTCATTTGATTTATTAATCTATTTGCTTATTCATCTACCCATTATTTATTATTATTATCATTATTACCATTATTTTTTTTAATATCATTATTACCATTATTATTTTTTAAATATCATTATTACCATCATTATTATTTTTAATATCAGTATTACCATTATTATTTTTTAAATATCAGTATTACCATTATTATTTTTTTAAATATCTTTATTGTTATCATCATTGCCACTATTATCTATTATTCACTTATCTTTTTCATTCAATTTACATTTTTTTTTTGCTTCGATGACCCCCGTGAGAAGACGGCGGGTGGTTAACCTCACCTTGACATATCGCTCGGGATTTACGAGGAGGGAGTGGGAGGGAAGGAGGGAGAGGAACGAGAGGGAGGGAAAGAGAGAGAAAGGGGGAGGGAAGAAAGAGAGAGAGAGAGAGAGAGAGAGAGAGAGAGAGAGAGAGAGAGAGAGAGAGAGAGAGAGAGAGAGAGAGAGAGAGAGAGGAGAGAGAGAAGAGAGACGGAGAAAGGAGAGGAGGGAGAGAGAGAGAGAGAGAGAGAGAGAAGGAGAGAGAGAGAGAGAGAGAGAGAGAGAGAGAGAGAGAGAGAGAGAGAGAGAGAGAGAGAGAGAGAAAGAAAGGAGGGAGACGGAGCAAGGAGAGGAGGGAGAGAGAGAGAAGAGAGAGAGAGAGAGAGAGAGAGAGAGAGAGAGAGAGAGAGAGAGAGAGAGAAGAGAGAGAGAGAGAGAGAGAGAGAGAGAGAGAAACGGAGAAAGGAGAGGAGGAGAGAGAGAGAGAGAGAGAGAGAGAAGAGAGAGAGAGAGAGAGAGAGAGAGAGAGAGAGAGAGAGAAGGAGAGAGAGAAGAGAGAGAGAGAGAGAGAGAGAGAGAAGGGATGGAGACGGAGTAAAGGAAAGGAGGGAGAGAGAGAGTGAGAGAGAGAGAGAGAAAAAAAAAAAAAGGAAAATATACCTACCTATACGATCACCTGCATACCAGTGTACAGCCTCGACCTTCCTCTCCCCCTCCCCCTCCCCCCACCCGGCCCCCTACCTCCCTCCTCGCGGGGACCAAATCGCACCTCAATCCACTCCTTAATTAATCTCGGCCCACCTGTCCTGGCTCCACCGTCACCCCACCTGAGCCCGCCGAAGACACCTGTCGTGACTGATATGGCTTATCGGGCAGAGACTCAAGGATCCTCGGTGCATTATACAATAAACAACAACAACAACAGTAACGTCAATAAAGCAGGATAAGAGTAATTGCAACAACAGCGATTCTGTCAATAAAGAACTGCAATGACAAGAAGAGGCACAGCAGTAATAACAACAGCAACAATGAAAGTAATGACAACAACAGTGACAAAAATAACGAGTATGAAAAAACAAAAATAACCACAACAACATTGACAATAACGCATCAGTAGGAATAATAACAATACAACAACAGATAAACACAAGAAAGGATATCAATGGATCGATTTTATAATTTTTTGTTAACGATATATGTGTGTGTGTGTGTGTGGTGTGTGTGTGTGTGTGTGTGTGTGTGTGTGTGTGTGTGTGTGTGTGTGTGTGTGTTGTGTGTGTGTGTGTGTGTGTGTGTGTGTGTGTGTGTGTGTGTGTGTGTGTGTGTGCACATATATGTATACTTGCATATATATATTTTTTTGGGGGGAGGGGGATTATTTTTTTGCAACATTTCATTTTCTACAAGAAGCTGATAATGTCCTATTGTCGTGTATTTTGCACAAAAGTAACTATCAGAAGAAAAATAAAGAAAGAACACACAATGTCGATTTGACGTTAGTAGGTGGATCCTAAACGGAATACTGAGTATCCTCTAAGGATGATATGGTAGTATTATGGGATGATACATAAATTCGGGAGACCAGTACAGGATATGTACGAGGTAATGCATAAAATATTACATAATTAACAATTATGTTGGAATAAAAACAACAAACTATTTGTTTGTCAATAAATCTAGCTTGTGGGTTTTTCTACCATATTATCATCACGGGAGCGTGTCTATAGTATTCGTACAGTCTGTTAGTGTGTATCATAATACATATATGAATAGGATCGCGGCTTTGTAATGAGGGGAAACGGGCTTGATGTGGGAAGTCAGATCAGGTAACGAGCCTAAAAAAGTTGGGAATTACCGCCTTACATTTTCAGAAAAAAAAAACATGAGAGGCTCTCAAACTCGCATTGGGTGGCAACAGTTAATGGCTTTGCATTACTCATACTCTCTGCAAGATAGCCTCGTGGCATCCATGCGCCAACCACGGTGGTCAGCAGATGAACATGCGATAACGTAAGCTGCCCATGACTACTTTGGAGATATCATGTCCAACAGCATTGCCCTTCCTCTGGGACACATTTGACCTTCACGTAACTCGAGTCGAGAGCCCCATATGCACCTCATCCAACCCTTACTGACTCAAACTCAGACCTCTGTCTTGGGCAAGCCGTGTGACCTCACCTTCAGCATGACCTTTCCTACGACCCAAGCTTTGGTCGAACGATGTAAAACACTCCAGAGGGCGGAGTCAACAGCAGCCTGACTCCTCCTCCTCCTCCTTCAGGGACCAAATCCCGCTTGGTACCCCTAGGGCGGGGACGAGGATGTGGGCGGAGATAACCTCGTTCCTCCTGAGATCAGCCAAGGTCTGGCCTGGATTCAGCCCTTCTCCATTCCCCGCAGACCTCACTGAAAGCGGACCCCAAATGATACCTTTCATATATAAAAAAAAAAAAAACAGCGGGTTCCTGAATGCACCTATAACCCGAACTCCCACAAATTTAGCTTCGCCAATGGCCACCTTCCCGCGGACCTGAAGAATAAAGCCCGTACACGTGTTCCACTGCCCCGGCGGCCCTGACAACATGTGCAGCGGCCCCACGATAAGAGCGCCGCAGTCTCCGGACAGGACTCCCATGGACAGCGACGCCTCACGTGCGGCCGGAGCGAACCGAACCACACCGACACCAACACTGACGGCGACACGAGCCAGCCCTCCGAACCGTTTTCTGGCCGAATTCTGCTC